ATTAGGATTTGGGTGAAGATTTACAGAGTAAATTCACTTTTCATACAGCAGTTCACATATACTTTGTCTCATGACATTGACCAAAATTTACAATGCAGCAGCTCCCCGCCCACTTCCTCCCCATTGAATAAAATTTTTAATTCAAAGCTATTGAAATAAGCTAAAAAAAACTGGAAAGCCTATAAATTTTCTTTCCATTGTTTATCTAGGCTATGTTCTTACCAGCAGGGTTACCCAATTCATACCCTTCTTCCATTAGAAAGAAAAAATGTATAACTCAAATCTAGAAGAAATGTAGCTGATCATTACCTATATTTCTAAGAATAATCTATAGAAGAACAAAACCAAACTCACTGCCCTTGGGTTGATTCTGACTCATAGCAACCCCTCCTTGGGTTTCTGAGGTGATATCTCTATGGAAGTAGATTTCCCAGTCTTCATTTTGAGGAGTGGCTCATGGATTTGAACCACTAGCCTTCTGGTTAGTAGTCAAATACTTTAGGCACTATGCCACCACAGCTTCCAAGAATCACCTATAGTGACTCTCAGAATATAATTCCCTGGGCCTCAGACAAAATCCACTGAATCACTGTGTAGTGGAAAGACTTGGGGAGTTAAATGTTAACCAAGTGCCCGTAGAAAGTCTTGTCATCAGAAAAAATTAGGAAACAGTCATAAATCTGACATTATTTGGCAGATTAGTAAAATAAAATACGACTCTTAAATTCATATTACCTTGAGTGATTCAGGAAAGTGACTCTTCAACATTTTCTCCAGTATGAGTAATTTGGTGGAACAATTTAACACCAACATATTTTCTAGAGCTCTTGCAATTCCACACCTAATTAGAAAAGTGAAGGTATACATTTAAGTTTTATCTATTAACATTTTAATCTACCTAGGAATATCCTTATGATACTATTTCCAATGGGTCTAATTCTGTCATCATTTCTCTCTGAATAGGGAAGAAAAGAAAGAAGATAGGGAGGCACTGGGATGGGTAAAGCAGATAACACAGAAATGGATAGTGCTGGTGGAGCTCTGGTAGCATAGTGGCTAAGGCACTTGACTGCTAACCAGAAGGCAGGCGGTTCAAATCCACCAGCCACTCCTCGGAAGGAAGGTTGGGCAATCCTACTTCCGTAGTGATACTGCCTCGGAAACCCAAGGAGGGGTCACTATGAGTCAGGTGTGACTCGACGGTACACAACAACAACAATGAAATAGATCACAAGACATCAGAGGTAAATACTATTACATACACAATCCTGCAACAACAGCAGTAACGATAAGCTACTAGTGGATACATAGATAGACACTCAAGCTGAACAAGGGTGGAAGGCAAATGGGACTACTCCCACAAACATATATATGTTTGACCAAATCAAAAACAAACCCACTGCCATCGAGTCGGTCTCGACTCACAGTCTAAAAGATAGAGCAAAACTGCCCTATAGAGTTTCTAAGGCTTTAATCTTTATGAAAGCACACTGCCTCGTTTTCCTCCATGGAACAGCTGGTGGGTGTGAACCACTGACTTTTTGGTTAGCAGCCAAAGACTTGAGCCCCTAGGCCACCAGAGCTCCTTATAGGCTTGATAAAAAAACAAAACAAAACAAACAAACAAAAACCAAACTTGTTGCTATCAAGTCAATTTGACTCATAGTGACCCCTTCTTGGGTTTCTGAGGTGGTATCTCTACAGAAGTAGATTGCATGATCTTTCTTCCAAGGAATGGCTGGTGGGCTTGAATCACCAGGCTTCTGGTTAGCAGTGAAATGCCTTAGGCACTATGCCACAGGAGCTCCCACAGCCTTGACAGAAAATAGAAT